TCACGGGAGTTGAACTCCCGTGAAGATCTACTAAACTTCACAGGAGTTCAACTCCCGTGAAGATCTACTAAACTTCACGGGAGTTCAACTCCGTGAAATTTCGGAATTTTTTTTTTAAAAACCGACCTGGTTTCAGCGCTGAGGCTGGAACCAGGTCGGCTTTTACAATTTTGTTTGAATGAGGTCATTTTTTTGGGAATAAAAGTCTAAATGGGTCTCTTTTGCAAATTTTTCCCACAGATGATAGAACCTGGGTTTATAAATAAATCTGGATAAATCTTTGGGCTCAGAGTTAAAACCCAATATATTTTATTAGGGGTTTTTCTTTTTTAACCCAAAGTTTTACCCCCACTTATTTAAAAACCCATTAACTTTTCCAAACATCAATACACTCATTGTATCCCACCCCACTTATTTCTAAACCCAATATGTATAATACACCCATTATTACTGTATTTACCCTCAAATTCACTACACAAGCTCTCTTCTTCCTTCCTCTTCTCCTTCAATGACCACCACCAACCTCCTCCTCTCCCCTTCCTTCACTTCCCCACCTCCCTCAAACCCATCAACCTCTCCCTCTGCTGCCCTTTATCTTCCCTCGCCGCCGCGTCATCCACCACCGTCAACCTCGAATCGGATGAACAGCCCACCAACGGTTTCGACATCGACTCCCCCCAGTTCGTCGACATGGAGGCAGGCAAGGATCTGAAGCACTTGTCGTCGCCCACCACCTGTTCGTTGAATTTACGCTTAGTGTTCTCTGATGTATGTCATGTGAGCTTGTAATCAATTTTTCAGATTTTGGAAAAGTGCAACTCTTTATAGTAAAGTGTTACATATTGTGATGATCTTTTGTAGTGGTGATGTGTAATTGTTGTTTCACGCTGTAACTATGTTCTTATTGTTAAAACTGTGTCGTTTCAGAGTTGAAATTGTATCGTTTTTGAGCAATGCACACGTGTGATGATATGTAAGATGTGTTGTTTGATCAATTGATGATGTGTAAGATGTGTTGCTTGATCAATTCTTCACCTCAATGAGAGGTCGTCGCTCAATTTTCCAGCTTTAGGAAAAGTATAGCTCTTTATAGAAATGTATAGCACCTTATTGATAAAGTATAGCACATTATGGCAAAGTATAGCACTTTATGGCAATAGTATAGCACCTTATTGATAAAGTATAGTACTTTATGATTTCTGGAATTTCTGCAACGTAGTGGGATAAACCAAATCAGTTTTTTTCGGAGTAATGCGAACACTTGATGACGTGTAAGATGTGTTGCTTGATCAATTATTCACCTCGACGAGAGGTTGTCTCTCAATTTTCTAGCTTTAGGAAAAGTATCGCTCTTTATAGAAATGTATAGCACCTTATTGATAAAGTATAGCACATTATGATAAAGTATAGCACTTTATGGCAATAGTATAGCACCTTATTGATAAAGTATAGTACTTTATGATTTCTGGAATTTCTGCAACGTAGTGGGATAAACCAAATCAGTTTTTTTCGGCGTAATGCGAACACTTGATGACGTGTAAAATGTGTTGCTTGATCAATTATTCACATCGACGAGAGGTCATCGCTCAATTTTTCAGCTTTAGAAAAAGTATAGCTCTTTATAGAAATATATAGCACCTTATTGATAAAGTATAGCACATTATGACAAAGTATAACACTTTATGGCAATAGTATAGCACCTTATTGATAAAGTATAGCATTTTATGGTTTCTGGAATTTCTTCAACTTAGTGGGATAAACCAAATCAGTTTTTTTGGAGCAATGCGAACACTTGATGACGTGTAAGATGTGTTGCTTGATCAATTATTCACCTCGACGAGAGGTTGTCGCTCAATTTTCTAGCTTTAGGAATATAGCTCTTTATAGAAATGTATAGCACCTTATTGATAAAGTATAGCACCTTATGATAAAGTATAGCACTTTATGGCAATAGTATAGCACCTTATTGATAAAGTATAGCACTTTATGATTTCTGGAATTTCTGTACTTTATGCTATACTATAAAATGCTATACTTTATCAATAAGGTGCTATACTATTATCATAAAGTGCTATACTTTACCATAAGGTGCTATACTTTATCAATAAGGTGCTATACATTTCTATAAAGAGCTATACTTTTCCTAAAGCTAGAAAATTGAGCGACGACCTCTCGTCGAGGTGAAGAATTGATCAAGCAACACATCTTACACGTCATCAAGTGTTTGCATTGCTCCGAAAAAAACTGATTTGGTTTATCCCACAACATTACATAAATTCCAGAAACCATAAAGTGCTATACTTTATCAATAAGGTGCTATACTATTGCTATAAAGTGCTATACTTTACCATAATGTGCTATACTTTATCAATAAGGTGCTATACATTTCTATAAAGAGCTATACTTTTCCTAAAGATGAAAAATTGAGCGACGACCTCTCGTCGATGTGAATAATTGATCAAGCAACACATTTTACACGTCATCAAGTGTTCGCATTGCGCCGAAAAAAACTGATTTGGTTTATCCTACTACGTTGCAGAAATTTTAGAAATCATAAAGTGCTATACTTTATCAATAAGGTGCTATATTATTGCCATAAAGTGCTATACTTTGCCATAAGGTGCTATACTTTATCAATAAGGTGCTATACATTTCTATAAAGAGCTATACTTTTCCTAAAGCTAGAAAATTGAGAGACAACCTCTCGTCGAGGTGAATAATTGATCAAACAACACATCTTACACGTCATCAAGTGTTCGCATTACTCCGAAAAAAACTGATTTGGTTTAACCCACTACGTTGAAGAAATTCCAGAAACCATAAAGTGCTATACTTTATCAATAAGGTGCTATACTATTGTTATAAGGTGCTATACTATTGTTGTAAAGTGCTATACTTTGCCATAATGTGCTATACTTTATCAATAAGGTGCTATACATTTCTATAAAGAGCTATACTTTTCCTAAAGATGAAAAATTGAGCGACGACCTCTCGTCGATGTGAATAATTGATCAAGCAACACATTTTACACGTCATCAAGTGTTCGCATTGCGCCAAAAGAAACTGATTTGGTTTATCCCACTACGTTACAGAAATTCCAGAAATCATAAAGTGATATACTTTATTAATAAGATGCTATACTATTACCATAAAGTGTTATACTTTGCCATAAGATGCTATACTTTATCAATAAGGTGCTATACATTTCTATAAAGAGCTATACTTTTCCTAAAGCTAGAAAATTGAGCGACGACCTCTCGTCGATGTGAATAATTGATCAAGCAACACATTTTACACGTCATCAAGTGTTCGCATTGCGCCAAAAGAAACTGATTTGGTTTATCGCACTATGTTACAGAAATTCCAGAAATCATAAAGTGCTATACTTTATTAATAAGATGCTATACTATTACCATAAAGTGCTATACTTTGCCATAAGATGCTATACTTTATCAATAAGGTGCTATACATTTCTATAAAGAGCTATACTTTTTCTAAAGATAGAAAATTGAGCGACAACCTCTCGTCGAGGTGAATAATTGATCAAGCAACACATCTTACACGTCATCAAGTGTTCGCATTGCTCCGAAAAAACTGATTTGGTTTATCCCACTACGTTGAAGAAATTCCAGAAACCATAAAATGATCCCACTACGTTGAAGAAATTCCAGAAACCATAAAATGCTATACTTTATCAATAATGTGCTATACTATTACCATAAAGTGCTATACTTTGTCATGATGTGCTATACTTTATCAATAAGGTGCTATACATTTTTATAAAGAGCTATACTTTTCCTAAAGCTAAACAATTGAGCGACGACCTCTCGTCGATGTGAATAATTGATCAAGCAACACATTTTACACGTCATCAAGTGTTCGCATTGCGCCGAAAAAAAACTGATTTGGTTTATCCCACTACGTTACAGAAATTCCAGAAATCATAAAGTGCTATATTTTATCAATAAGGTGATATACTATTGCCATAAAGTGTTATACTTTGCCATAAGGTGCTATACTTTATCAATAAGGTGCTATACATTTCTATAAAGAGCTATACTTTTCCTAAAGCTGGAAAATTGAGCGACGACCTCTCGTTGAGGTGAAGAATTGATCAAGCAACACATCTTACACTGAGCGACGACCTCTCGTTGAGGTGAAGAATTGATCAAGCAACACATCTTACACATCATCAATTGATCAAGCAACACATCTTACATGTCATCACACGTGTGCATTGCTCAAAAACGATACAATTTCAACTCTGAAACGACACAGTTTCAACAATAAGAACATAGTTACAGCGTGAAACAACAATTACACATCACCACTACAAAAGATCATCACAATATGTAACACTTTACTATAAAGAGTTGCACTTTTCCAAAATCTGAAAAATTGATTACAAGCTCACATGACATACATCAAAGAACACTAAGCGTAAATTCAACGAACATGTGGTGGGCGACGACAAGTGCTTCAGATTCTTGTCTGCCTCCATGTCGGCGAACTGGGGGGAGTCGATGTCGAAACCGTTGGTGGGCTGTTCATCCGATTCAAGGTTGACGGTGGTGGGTGACGTGGCGGCGAGGGGAGATAAAGGGCAGCAGAGAGAGAGGTTGATGGGTTTGAGGGAGGAGGGGAAGTGAAGGAAGGGGAGATGAGGAGGTTGGTGGTGGTCATTGAAGGAGAAGAGGAAGGAAGAAGAGAGCTTGTGTAGTGAATTTGAGGGTAAATACAGTAATAATGGGTGTATTATACATATTGGGTTTAGAAATAAGTGGGGTGGGATACAATGGGTGTATTGATGTTTGAAAAAGTTAATGGGTTTTTAAATAAGTGAGTGTAAAACTTTGAGTTAAAAAAAAACCCATTTTATTAATTACGCCCAAAAAACACAAAGGTCAAAAAACAGTTTCTCCACCGGTCAATCATCAGATTGATGCATCATAATGGATTGATGCAATCCCTATCGTTCGATAAATATCATGATAGATAAGAGGTAAGCAGTCGATCGGTCGAACACCCAAAGCGATAAAACCCAAGAAGGGATTTATAGACTCCACGACACAACCACCCCACGAAAGAAGAAAGAAAACTATTCTCCCTATCGTTCTCTTCCCCAAATTCAAACGGTAAGCTACTCTTCTGCCTGCTGTTTACTTACGATTTATTTTGTTGATCAATAATTCTTGGGTCTCTGTGATTCTACCATATAAGATTCTCACTGCTATTGGGTCAATAAGGAATGGGCTCTTTTTCATTAATTTCCAGCAGTAGAGTAATTTACCCTCATAGTTCTTGCTCAAACCAGCCTTTAAGTTCATTTAATGGAGGAAAACCGAGAATTGAAGTAGATAAGCTCTTACCCTTGTGGAAATTCCACAGAAATCTCTCAGTATCATATTCTATTTCTTGTAATTTTCCATATATTCTTGATATTGCGCAATCGGGGCAGCACCGCAATAGGATATTTGTTGCAAAGATGAGGGGAAGCAGTCAAGAAAACAATACCCATTTGGGGGTTAAAGGGAAACCCATTTTGAGGAAGAGGGGGAGGAGGTTTTCTTTGAGATTGAGGCCGAGATTGCGTTTGCTTTCAATGAGTTTGAAAAAGATATCGATACGGGATTCTATGGATGATATTGTGGTATTGTTGAGTAGGAATTCGAAAAAAGTCACTGTTTCAGCCGCAGCATCTTTTGCTCTTGGGCTCATTTTCTTGTTCCTTAAGTTCACTGCAGTTCCTGCTTCAAAGATGGTTCCTTATTCGGATTTGATATTGAATCTTAGGAGTGGACTTGTAAACACAGTTCTATTTGAAGAGGGTTCTCGTAGAATCTTCTATAATGTTGTCCCGGATGGTCATGAAGATTCAAAGAAAGAAAATGATGAATCAGTTGCAACTGATGTTTCAATTAGAGCCACGTCTAAACCTTCAGCTTTGGTACTTTCGTCTAGTAAGAAAACTGCCAGTGCAGCTCCAAAATGGGAATATGTTGCAAGAAAGATTGACCATGATGAGAAGTTTTTACTTGGTTTGATGAGGGAGAAAGGGACAACATATAGCTCTGCACCTCAATCTGTTCTGATGTCAATGAGGAACATTTTGATTACGATAATTTCTCTGTGGATTCCGTTAGTGCCTTTGATGTGGTTGCTTTACCGTCAGCTTTCTGCTGCTAATACTCCTGCAAAGAAGCGCCGACCTACTAATCAGAAGGTTAATTTTGATGACGTGGAGGGTGTTGATGCTGCTAAGGAAGAGCTTATGGAGGTGAGTTCAATCTTCTCTTCTTGTTGAATTATATGCTTTAAATATTCAATTGGAACCTTTTAATTGGAAATATATGATAAATGTGTTACGCTTGCTGTGCATGGCTCACCCTTTACTAGGCAGTATGCATGATTCATGAGAAATGTGAGTCGATGCTTATCTCTATTGGATGGAATAATAGTTAGCGCATTTGATATTTAGAAGAGCCCTTTCTGTTCCCAATCACGGATCTTGAATATATTATCAACTTCAATTGCAGTTCATTCACATAGAAAACATAGTACATCTTGCCGTCTATGTGCTTGTAGATCTGCATAGCTTGTGGTGCAGACTGAATAATGGGTGTTCTACATGCTCTTTTCGAGACATTAGATTAAAAATCTACAAATGTTGTTTTGATAACAATGCTTGAATTGAATTTCCTAAAGTTGTATGTGTTTCCCCAATTATTTTTGTATTCTTATATTTTTCTTTCATTATTGTAATATTGCATCCAGTTTAGGTAAGCTATATGACAATAGCAAAATTTAATACTATTGGATGTTGTTCTAAATTCTAATATCCCAAATATGACATATTCATTTTTCTTGGCGACCACATCAATCACGTGAACGTAAAGATCAACATGGAATATAAGGATAACTAAGAATATTGTATTGTTTGACATATTTATTATTTAAAGACCAAAGCTCTTTCTACATCAAAAATGAAAATGCAAATGGTGGATATTGGCATGTTTTAAGTTTAAATTTTTGGTGTCTGGCATTGCACATGTCAATATAGGCTGATATAGAGAATGAATGGAATGCAATGCTTCCACATATGCTGTAGCATCCAAGATATAATAGGTTTATCTTTCGATGCCAATACTCAAAAGTGGTTCACAGCCCATCATCGAGGCCTTACTCTATAAGATGTAATGTTACTGATCACTATTCTTTCAGTAGTTGCATCAAAAAGCTCTGATACCATACTAGTGCCTCATTCTCTACAGATTACCATATGATTTAGTTGTTTAAAGTCATTAATTTCAGCAGATCTGTTGGAAATTAGAGAGTAGATGAGGAGATAATATTTTCTCTATATTATTCATCAACTAAAAGTGCCTTTATATAGGCTTACAAAACAACTTAATCCCATAAAAATCTAAACTAATTAGCAACAACTCCACTATCAAAATAACAACCTAATAACAAATTTTGAATCAGTTATTCAACATTCCCCCTTGATTCAAAATTTCTTGTCATTCCTCTTGAATCTTCATAGAGCACTTCTCTCCACTTTGTGATGCACTTCTCATCTCAATCTTGTTGATGCACATAATCACCAACATTCTCTTAAAGGAGCACATCTCTCCATAAATATTTGTCCAATCTCTCCATGGTGCACATCTCACCATGATTCTCCAAAATTTAAGCAATGATACATAACAATGAGTTAGAAGGCAGAGCCTCCGCCTTTGGTCTTTCCAAGCATAATGTCCTTGTCTTTGTTAATCTTCGAAGCTAAGTAATCGCTACCTCCTGCATCTGGATGATTAGCCACCATCACCTTTGCAATCTGATTGTCCACGTGCATGTGTTCCAAGAATGTTGCCCCATCGTTTGTAATGATGAGGTCGCCGGCAGGGCTCTGCTTCATCTTGTCCATGTCCTTAGGGCCAAGCGGAGTGCGTAGGATACGAGATTCGGCGACGCCAGCGGCGATGTTGGATTTCTGGGCGTCGAGGCCACGAAGCCTCATCTTCTGATCTTGCTCCTTCATAAAATCTGCGCATCCGAGAAATAAGGCTCTGATACCATGTTGGAAATTAGAGAGTAGATGAGGAGATAATATTTTCTCTATATTATTCATCAACTAAAAGTGCCTTTATATAGGCTTACAAAACAACTTAATCCCATAAAAATCTAAACTAATTAGCAACAACTCCACTATCAAAATAACAACCTAATAACAAATTTTGAATCAGTTATTCAACAGATGTTAAATTAGTTTGCTCTAAATTTGTATATTAGTTTATGCAGTCTCATCGTCCAAAATTAGTTTGCTTCAGCTAACATTTATCCGGAAAATAGAAAAAATTCAGAACACTTTATATGAAAACTTCATTTTGTTTTTTTTTTCAAATCATGCTTATCTTGTTATCTGAAGTATATTTTGCTCTTTTTTAGATAGTTTCGTGTTTACAAGGATCGATAGAATATCACAAGTTAGGAGCAAAGTTACCAAGAGGTGTTCTGCTTGTGGGTCCTCCTGGAACAGGAAAGACATTACTAGCACGGGCAGTAGCTGGAGAAGCTGGAGTTCCTTTCTTCTCTGTTTCTGCAAGTGAGTTTGTGGAGATGTTTGTTGGAAGAGGAGCAGCACGCATTAGAGACCTTTTTAATGTTGCAAAAAAATGTTCTCCATCAATAGTGTTTATTGATGAACTTGATGCAGTGGGAGGCAAACGTGGTAGAAGTTTTAATGATGAACGTGATCAAACACTAAACCAGGCAAGTACTCTATCTTCAAATTTTAATTGTTCACTCCATATTTTTTTAGTTTCAATTTCACAAAATCCCCTTAAACTTCGAGGTTGTTGCAGAAAATCCGCCTTAACTTTATAAATCTGGGAAACCGCCTGAAGTTTCAAAATAAACAAGCCTATGGAGATTGCCACAAACACATTAGCGTGAAGGGTGATGAGTCTAAACTACAATAGTTACTATCTACCCACATTAACCTGAAAAACGTTCTTTCAAACAAAAGTAAATGGTACATGAGAGCAAGATTATCGAAAACATGTCATGTACGAGGCACATGCCAACTTAAACTAGTTGCCTTCTTTTATGGTACTTAAGTTGAGACAAGTTCAGGGGTTCTCTCTGATTTATTAAGTTCAGGGGTTTTCTGCAAATACCATTGGGGTTTGTGATACCCTTATTCTATTAGCTATTTCTTTATAGGTTTGTGTTTTCTGAATGTTGTTTGCTTTATGTTTCCTTTCAGTTGTTGACAGAAATGGATGGTTTTGAATCCGACACAAAAGTTATTGTAATTGCGGCAACCAATCGGCCTGAAGCATTAGATTCAGCTCTCTGTAGACCTGGTCGCTTCTCAAGGAAAGTTTTGGTCGGAGAACCAGATTTTGATGGACGGAGAAAGATTTTGGCTGTGCATATAAGAAATGTTCCTTTAGAGGAGGAACCTCAGATAATTTGTAATCTTGTTGCTTCTCTAACTCCGGGATTTGTTGGTGCTGACTTAGCCAACATTGTTAATGAGGCTGCTTTGCTGGCTGCTAGAAGAGGTGAGACTTAAAAGACCATTGTTGTGTATCTATCAAGTTTCTTGTTTCTTGTTCTTGTTTACATCATTTATTGTATCTTAATTGCAAGTAGTGCTGTAATAGTGTAATGGATGAAAAGATGTGCTAAGTGACTTAGTTTCGTAGAGGTTAATTAGGAACCAAATCCATGAAGTCAAAGCTTCCTGTTTACATATGACAAGCATCATAAAGTAATATATTTATTATGAAGAACTTCAAGAAGCTATAGCGGCTAAAAGGATGTGGTTTCATCCTTTTGCAATTTAGGGTTCATAATTTATGTCTCAGAATATTCCCATGACAATTGATATCAATGTGCTGACTGATGGTATCTTGACACAAGAATACAACAGTTATCTTTGTACTCTTTTAGTCCTTGCCACTATACAAAAACTCCGATGTTGCGTTAAGGATTGCAATGAGTTTTATATTCTAACATGCTTCCGCAGGTGAGTGATGTTTTATAGGCTAAAACCCGAACTCACGTATGCAGCGGTATCAAATTTTATTTAATCCATGTTAAATTTGTGGCTAGAAGGATCATCGTAAAGTAGCTGCCACTATACCAAAACTCCTAAGTTATGGTGAGTTGGGGTTATAGTTTTATATTCTAACACTTATAAACGTTAATCAAAGTTGTGTCCTAACACTTATAAACGTTAATCAAAGTTGTGTCAGACTTTTGCATATTATAATTCACTATTTCATGACCCAACAAATAATCTCATCAAACTTTACGGACTTGACCAGCTCACCACTTCAGTAAGGGTTTAATTATTTCAAATCAAATCATGAGCTGTTTGATTCGCTTTTGGCAATGAATTGTAGATGGAATCCCTATATACCCATCCATAGGATTTTGAATATATTGGCTTTTATGTGTTCAGCATCTAGGGGTATTATGAGTAACCAAACACCTGATTTATGCAGTATTTACAAGATCTGAGAACAAATGCCTCCAAATGATCTTTTATACTGCTAAAGCTTCTAAATTTGTATAATTACTATTCTTTAATTCGATTGCCAACACATGTTAGCACTAATGCACTTTTAGGATCATTAACTTTTTGTTGCATGGGTGTTTCTAAAAAAACTTTTGTTGCATAGGTGGTGATGTAGTGATTCGAGAAGACATCATGGAGGCGGTAGAAAGAGCAAAGTTTGGGATTAATTATAAGCAATCGACTCCAAGTTCCATAAGCAAGGGTCTGGGAAAAACTTTTGCCCTGATGCGCTACTTTAGTGGCGAAAGAGTGGAATGATGGCGGGGCAGAAAATGATTTACAAGGCCTTATGGGCTACCAAACTTTGAGCTGATTGGAGTTATGTTAAGGTATGAATTACGTGAAATTTAATGTGATTACACTAATTACTCAACTGTCTGACGTGATATTGAATCAAATAGAGAAGTGGAAACTTGAACTGCTTGTATGATCTACCTTGTTTCAAATTCTTTTGTTATATCCAAAACAATAAATTTTCTCAAAGCTTATACCTAAACCTATTGTCTAATTAAATGACCATTTTAGCTAGAATCATTCTACAACTATGTTCAAATTCATCCTGCCTGTCCTGAGATCTGCACAGATATTATGCTCATCTTGATTTTAGGAGCAAAATAAATCCTAGTTTGAATTCTTTCCTTTTTTTCACAATAAGCTTTAAAATATCAAAGGGAAGAATGTATAGTGCTTCATCATTTCATGTATCATTCTCTTTTTAACCCTGGATGTTTCTCTGTCTTGGCAAATCAGAGGCAATACATTTTTTTCCTTTATGATTCTAATATGAAATATGCGTGTGGTATGGCAAAGTACTATCATTTATATTCCAATTTTCTATGTTTTGGAAGCACCTTCAATATTTCAGTGGTATTGATTTTCTCCTGTATATATGTTTTCGTCAATGGTAGTGAAATTGTTTTCTTAATGTTATTCTTCTTTTGATTTTTGTGTTAGCAGTTGATACTGTTTTAGTTTCCATGGTACTGTGTTACAGTGCACGATTATAATGGGAAAACTGCATAAATTTTGCATATCAAAGTGGGAGGAAAGTCAGGTCAAATGACTAGACCAATGAAAAGAGTAATCAGAAGGATGCGAAAGTGGGCTGAAAACGGAGAGAGGAATACATAAAAAATGTATACCTCCTAAAATGGAGGGGTTCAAAAAAAATTCCGAAAACCAGATGACATTTCCCAATAATCTTTCCAATATCATCAATTGCTAGCAAACTTGTCCTGAACTTCGACTTGCTCGTCAGCGTTGAGTCATGGGGAACTGATGTGATATTAACTTATCGAATATCTGTATAGCAAATTTCATATTCACATAAAAAAAATCCAGATATCTCTGTGAAGAATAACTCAAAAACATTGAATCCTTCATGTCCGCTGTAAGATTTGGATACCTGAAGATCCATTACTCAATTATATTAGCAACCAGAGTTCTCTTGTACTGCCTAAAGCCAGGTTCCATTTGATCTAGACCTTGTTCAGGAAGAAACTTAAATTAACGTCTTATGACCTCTGAACTGGTCCACCCATCAGCCTGTGGTACACATCTGATCCATAAATAGCAATAATCTTCTTCTTACTGTTACTCTCTCCTGTTCCTCTTTCTATGAAGAAAATATATATTTGGAGTGGATTAACAGTCCACAGACCATATGAAGCGTTTCTATGGCAGTGTTCAAAAGACTCAACAAAGAAATTTTAATGAAAATGCAACTCGTTTCCACGCTTCGAACTCATTTCCACACTTGCGCATATCACTTGATACTTTCAAGCTTGTTGGTACTTCATTCTGTCTTACGTTGTTCCTGAGAATTATTCTATTATCTTGCATATATTTTATGAGCATTTCGTAGTTGTGTTTTGCTAATTATTACATATCGGGTTCTTTATGAAGAACTTGTACAGGCTTCAAACAACTCCGTTATGTGCTATATGAATGGGGAAAAAATGCATTGAAATTTTAGATTCAATGGGGAGAAAGTTCTGTATGGGGAGGAATGCCTGAGGCTCTTAGTTGCTGTGTACTGCTGGTAAGGATGAAATTTACAATAGCTGAAGCCTGAAGGTCTTAAAGAGCGTGGGCTATTGAGATTATTATCGATTTCCGGAATCATACTTGTGGATGATAGGTATTGCTCTAAATATAATTCCGGGGAATCATAGCATGAGACAACATCATGCATCGAAGTTAAGAGTTCAAGTGTATCCAAATTTTGCCTCAACTTCGTATTCCATTTAAATTTACATGTTTATCACTACAACTTTCAATTATCTAGTAGTACGTTTTCATGTTGACATGTATTTGAATATTTCAATTGTCTGTTACTGAAAGTCGACATTTTAATGTAAGGTTGTCATATATATCCAATAATATGAGTATCCTTGGTACGAAGGACCATCTTTCATCCCTGCTAGTGAGATGACTCATTTTCATCAATGGGAGACCATTTTCACATAGGTTAGAGGTTAGAGGGGACTGTTTTCTACTAGAGAGCATTTAGTAGCTAAGATGTGGCCACCTTGATAGTGACCAAATTTATCCATGTTACCAATGATATTCATTTTTCGCTATCGTAAAATACCTTATATTTTGATGCAAACGTGCAACGTGATAGGACTCTAGATGCTCTTTGCCGAGAAAGAGAATTGGCTGAGAGGGACTAATTATTACATCAATTTCAGTGTTGGACCAAGTCTAACCTTAAGTAGGTAAGCAATCAAACTAATCAAAGCCGTGGAAGAAACCATTGTTCGCGTAATTGAGCAAGTGAATCGGGTAACTTGCTCAGAACCATATCCTTGTAATGATCAATTCTTGTAATCCTCACCTCTACTCTGCTTCATTTATTAGCACGTGCAGACTCTGCCACAATTGATTAAATCATAACCGTCTATTTAGCGCGACAATCTGTAATGCATTTTAATCATTCAAGATTAATTGGAGGGTGCCTGGATCAACCGGGGAATATTTGATCATCAAGTCTAAATCAGTGCGATCAATACAGAAAACCAGCGTGATCAGTGGAAGGTTAATGCAAACAGCTAAGATATCAGTACAATCATCAACTTTAAAATTAAAAATAAGATACTCTTCGTAGTCTGCATAATTCCTTATATGATTTTACAGAGTGCTATGCTCTGACCAAACAAAAACTCTCCGTATCCTTGACTGTCAAATGGACACATCAGACCTGGTCAACTTTGAAGTTTTCCTCCAAAGTCTCCCGCAAGCCTACCATCCAAGGAAACTACAGCCCATAATCCTCGCATCCTCCAAAACCCTACAAAAACACTCAATTCACAAACAAGCAACCCCATTCACCTAAATTCAAAAGCCCGATTCCAAACAAAAATGTACGTCACAAGGCCACTCTCCCTCTACTACAACTCCCCAACCGCTGCAGCAGAGCCACCACCCGAAGGGCCGAGCTCCGGTATACTGGTGGTTAACGATGAACAGACCACAGAGAAGCGAGCAGCGTGTTGCTGGGGTCTGTTTAATACCTATAGGTTGCATGATCTGCCGTTTCCACAGAATAAGATGATCGAAGTTCGGTACACTACGAGGCTTGGGCTCTCTCATCAGACGTATAGTGATGACGTTTTCTTTGTTCCCGTGATTGATCAACCTCTGTCGTCAAATCGGTACTATGTTATTAGAGCACATGGAAAGGGAAAGGGGTAAATATCCTGCCTCTCTTCTAGTTAAATTGGACTAATATAGATAGTTTTCATAATGCAGATACTATTGAGTCAAATTTAAATTCCGACTTGAAAAAGTACAGTTAATGTGATTTACTACAACAATCTGAGGACCTATATCGTAAACCTTTTTGTTTTGTCTCTTGAGAGACATGACTAAAACACATAAAAAGCATTCAAGGTGCATGTTTTTTAAATTTGAGTTGATAGTTTATGCATCTCGAACATATAGTCTAAGTTGAAGCTTCACAAAATATCCTCTTACTATGTTTCAATAACATTTGCAGGAAAGCTTGCACATGTTCGAAACAGGAGGGTGCAACGACATGCTGTTTCTGCACATTGCCACATGATATCGAGCCTACTACTTTTGATCACAACGATATCTACCAACAAGTTGAGATAATCCAAACTCACAGAAAAAGGTTCTATGCTAAGTCCATAGCTTCTGATGGAATACCTCCACAATTCTTGAGAACAAGAGGTTGGCGAGCCTATGCTTTCGAGCCATCCAACTTCTCTCTAGGCGAAGCCCAAGGTCTAAACTCAATCCTCCGCAGTCAAATGCCCGATCAATTTTCTTCTTCCACAGTTGTGGGAAAATGGTACATCCCTTCCGTTTTTGTCAAGGAAGGTGACGTATTGAATGACAAAATGAGGAAGCCCATGTTCTATGAAATGACTCTAGAGCAATATTGGGAAGAGATATATGCTTGTGAAAATGATAGTCATGAAGGAAATGTTGTGGAGGTGGGTGTTAATGTTATAAGAGAGTTTGCATTGCTGAATGGGAGGGAAAATGTGAAGGGTGATATTGAGATGAAAGATGGATTTATATATTTTGAGCCTGTTAATTCAGTAGGGAATGGTTTAGGATTGAATTTGATCATATGGGAGAGGATGAGATGGGAGGAAGAGAGAGGAGGTTGGGTGAGTGGCGAGAAGATGGAGAGGGTGGAAAGAGAGGAGATTTATGAAGGGGAGAGGGAGTGGAAGAAGTACGATTGCTATTTGTTAGTAGAGAGGTTTGTCCTCAAAAGAATGAATGGAAGTGTGGCTTTGACTTGTGAGTTTAAGCACACTAACAAAATTAGAAGCAAATGGGTGTGAATTTATAACGTTTGGGGAGGCTAAATGTGATGGGGAAAGAATTTGATAATTTGAGTGCTTAATATGTTACCATTGTGTTCTTTCCTTTCTTTCACGTGCATTAAGATTTCTGTGTACCATTTGAGATACATGGAAAAACTTAACATCATTTTGATATTACAAATACAAGCCTTGTTCAGCCATGAGAACATAAGTATCCATCTTCGGGCTATTATTAGTGTTAGGATATGTGAAGCCTAACTATCAGGCATGCCCTACACTTCAGAATGAAGAGGAACAGGATGAACAGGATCGACGATGGCGAAGTTCAAGCAAAACGACGAAGGAGGCATTTTTCTGCACCGCGGTCGACCGAGCAGGGCGCGGCGGTCGACCGCCTATGTGCACAGCTGGGTGCACAGGCCAGGAACTTGTCGCGGTCGACCGAAGGTGGCGCAGCGGTCGACCGCTCAAAGTCCAGAGAGCAACCCAGCTTTCTGTCTTCGTCGCGGTCGACCGAGCATGGCGCTGCGGTCGACCGCCAAAAGTCCAGAGAGCCAGGCAGATTTCGAACAGCATCGCGGTCGACCGGATGTGGTGCGGCGGTCGACCGGAGTCGGGTTTTGGCCCAGATTCGTTTTTAACCTGTTTTGATCTGTTTCCTTATTTACTTGTTAAACCCTTAAGTCTATAAAAGGGTTGATTAGGGCATGATGTATTAAGACGAAAAATAGTGAATTTTTCTCCTGCGGCGGCCGTGGACGTAGTTTCTCACATTGAGAAGCGAACCACGTAAATCTTGTGTGTTTGAGATTGTTTGATTTTCTCTCTTCTCTCCTAAATCTCTATTTCCAAATCGCATCAGGGGGGTTGTGCATCCCCAACAATTGGTATCAGAGCGACCAGGTTCGGCGCGAGCGATTTGAGGTCAGAGACAATGGGATCTGAGAAGGAAACATCCAAGATTGAGAAGTTTGATAGAACAAACTTCAGGTTCTGGAAGATGCAGATGGAAGACTACCTCTATCAGAAGGATCTATACCTACCATTGGGAGAGAAGCCGACGGATATGAAAGATGCGGATTGGAAGCTATTGGATCGAAAGGCCCTTGGAGCGATCAGGTTGACCTTGTCTAAATCAGTAGCGTTCAACATCAAGAATCAGAATACGACGGCGGATCTCATGGCGGCGTTGTCCAGTATGTATGAGCAGCCCTCTGCGGCGAATAAGGTACATCTCATTAAAAAGTTGTTTAATTTGAGGATGTCCGAGAGCCAGAAATTCAAGGAACACCTGAACGAGTTTAACGAGATCACGGATCAACTAAACTCGGTCAATATTCAGTTTGACGATGAAATCCAAGCCCTCTTGATACTTGGTCAATTGCCCGACAGTTGGAAGGGTACCGTTATCTCGATCAGCGGATCATGTGGCAAATCAAAGCTGAAGTTTTCAGAGGTGGTGGACATGATTATGACTGAGGAAATAAGAAGACAAGAGGAAGGGATTTCTAATTCAGGGTCGGCGTTGAACCTTGAGGGCAGAGGAAGAAACAGAAACAGAAATAGAGGGAATAGCCGAGGAAGATCTAACTCGAGGAACGGAAGGCCAAAGTCCAGGAACCGCAAGGGCAAGAAGGAAATAGACTGCTGGAATTATGGCAAGTTTGGCCACTATGAAAATCAGTGCCGAGAACCCAAGAAGGACAAGGAGAACAAGACTGAAGCGAACGTGGCCTCAGGAGAATCAGATGATGCCCTAATCTGTTCGTTGGAGAGCAAAACTGAATCGTGGGTGCTGGATTCAGGAGCTTCGTTTCATGCTACCTCAAATAGAGATTTATTTGAGAACTACGTTTCAGGAAACCTAGGAAAAATCTATCTTGGTGATGATCAGCCCTGTGATATCGTTGGCAAAGGAGTCGTGCAGATCAAGCTCAATGGGTCTATATGAAAGCTGAGTGATGTGAGACATATTCCTAGCTTGAGGAAAAATCTGATTTCCATAGGACAATTGGCGAAAGAGGGATACGTATCAACCTTTGCATGTGATACATGGAAGATTACAAAGGGATCCATGGTTGTTGCCCGTGGTACGAAGACGGGATCTCTCTACATGACGATAGATGCACGAGGCTCCATTGCAGTGGCTGAAGGCAGTGAAGACCCAAATTTGTGGCACCAGAGGCTAGGTCACATGAGTAGCAAAGGCCTAAAGGTTATGCAATCGAACGGGAAGTTACCAGGTTTGAGATCGGCTGATATTGACCTATGTGAAAGCTGCATTCTAGGGAAACAAAAGAGAATAAGCTTCAAAAGGGTTGGCAGAACCCCTAAAGAAGAGAAGCTTGAGTTAGTTCACACAGATGTGTGGGGTCCAGCATCAGTTCCATCCACCGGCGGAAGGTTATATTTCGTGACCTTTATAGATGATCACTCGAGGAAGACTTGGGTCTATTTCATGAAACACAAATCAGAAGTGTTTGAAGTCTTCAAGCGATGGAAGGCTATGGTTGAGAACGAGACCGGTTTGAAGATCAAGAAGCTTCGTTCTGACAACGGCGGCGAGTATGAAGACTCAGAGTTCAAGAAGTTCTGTTATGACAGCGACATTAGATTAGAGAGGACAGTGCCAGGTACACCCCAGCAGAATGGCGTAGCAGAACGCATGAACAGAACATTGACTGAGAGAGCCAGAAGTATGCGGTTACAAGCAGGTTTTCCAAAGCAATTCTGGGCAGAAGCAGTCAACACAGCTGCCTACTTGATCAACCGGGGACCATCAGTGCCTTTGGAGCACAAAATACCTGAAGAAGTATGGAGTGGAAAGCAGGTAAATCTCTCTCACCTGAGAGTATTTGGATGTGTTTCATATGTACATCTGAGTGATCATGCTAGAAGCAAACTCGATCCTAAGTCCTTAAAATGTTTCTTTGTTGGCTATGGCGGCGATGAGCTTGGCTACAAGTTCTGGGACGAGCAGAACAAGAAAATCATCAGAAGCAGGGATGTGGTCTTTAACGAATCAGTCCTCTACAAAGACCGTGATGCAGTTCAGCCCACTAGCTCGATGCAGAGTGATCCTACGTATTTTGAGTCAGATGATGCCTCAGGTGGAGGCAATCCCGAAGCTAGTTCTGATGAAGAAGAAGAGATGATGGATGAGACCACTTCAGAGGGGGCAGATGAAGATGAAGAGCCTGTTTCGCCCGTTAGAGAGTTGAGGCGGTCAGCTAGAGTCCCCAAGCCTAATCCAAAGTATCCATCACTACAGCCCAGAGCTCATCTCAACTACCTATTGTTGAGTGACGGTGGAGAGCCAGAAAGTTATGATGAAGCCCTTCGAGTGGATGATGCGAGCAAGTGGGAGCTCGCCATGAAAGACGAAATAAAATCCTTGGACACCAACAAGACATGGGAACTTGCGAAGCTACCAACGGGGAAAAAGGCCTTGAGCAATAAATGGGTGTACAGAATCAAAGAGGAACATGATGATTCCAAGAGATACAAGGCCAGATTGGTGGTTAAAGGATTTCAGCAGAGGGAAGGAGTTGATTACACAGAGATCTTCTCTCCAGTAGTCAAACTGACTACCATCAGAACAGTCCTGAGTATTGTTGCAGCTGAAGATCTACATCTCGAGCAGCTAGATGTAAAGACAGCTTTCCTCCACGGTGATCTAGAGGAAGAGATATATATGCAGCAGCCAGAGGGGTTTACTCAGAAGGGAAAAGAGAAGATGGTATGCAGATTGAAGAAGAGCTTGTACGGCCTAAAACAAGCTCCAAGGCAATGGTACAAAAAATTCGATGGATTCATGCACAGGAACGGTTACTCCAGGTGCAATGCTGATCACTGTTGCTTTGTCAAGGAGTTTGACAACAGTTACATCATCCTGCTTTTATATGTCGACGACATGCTAGTAGCCGGTTCAGATATGACAGAGATCAAGAAACTGAAGAAGCAGCTGTCGAGTGAGTTTGACATGAAGGACCTAGGCGCAACAAAGCAGATATTGGGGATGAAGATCATTAGAGATAAGCTCTTGGGCACACTGCGGCTATCTCAGGCGCCGAGTACATTAGACGGGTGCTTGAGAGATTCGGGATGAGTGGTGCTAAGGCCGTTAGCACACCGTTAGCCAGTCACTTCAAACTGACTAAGGAGCAGTGTCCTGAGACTGATGAAGAGAAAGAATACATGGCTAAGGTTCCATATGCTTCAGCCATTGGAAGCCTTATGTACGCCATGGTATGCACGAGACCCAACATTGCTCATGCAGTGGGAGCTGGGGACCTGACATTGCCCATGCAGTGGGAGCTGTGAGCAGATTTATGTCAGATCCAGGAGAGCAGCACTGGGAAGCAGTAAAGTGGATTCTTAGATACCTGCGAGGTACTATAGAAGATTGTCTATGCTTCAGAAGAGGCAAGTTAGTCCTGCAGGGTTTTGTTGATGCAGACTATGCTGGTGAGATAGACCAGAGAAGGAGCACTACAGGATATGTATTCACTTTGGACTCTACAGCTATTAGTTGGGTTTCTCAGTTGCAGAAAATCGTTGCTTTATCAACGACAGAGGCTGAATATGTTGCGGTGACAGAGGCAAGCAAGGAGATGATATGGTTGCAGGGTTTCTTGGAGGAGCTGGGACAGAAGAGTGAGAAGAGTGTCTTACATTGTGATAGCCAGAGCGCAATTCATTTGGCAAAGAATCCTGCTTTTCATGCAAGGACCAAACACATACAGGTCCGCTACCACTTCATAAGATCAGCGTTGGACGAGGACATGTTGGAACTTGTGAAGATTCAAGGAAGCAAGAACCCAGCTGATATGCTTACCAAGGTTATCACTACAGAGAAACTGAAGTTGTGCTCAACTTCAGTTGGCCTCAGCACTTGATGATACGGAGGCCGTCGCCGCAAAGAGAGCTGAAAGAGATTGATAGCTAGTCTCCAAGTGGGAGATTGTTAGGATATGTGAAGCCTAACTATCAGGCATGCCCTACACTTCAGAATGAAGAAGAACAAAGTTGGAACATGATGAACAGGATCGACGATGGCGAAGTTCAAGCAAAACGACGAAGGAGACATTTTTCTGCACCGCGGTCGACCG